GGACAGAAGGGACGGCAGACAGGAGGAGTGACGGGGTGGAGAAGAAAGGTCCCAAAACGAAGGAGACGAGAGGGCCAGAGAAGGGGGCGACTGTCGAAAGACAAGACGGAAAGGAGGAAGCAGGCCCGGGGAGAACGCGACGAGAGGAYGACACAGGAAGGACGRAGAATGCACTGAGTGGAGCTAAGCCCACAGAGACTGCAGAGGAGACTACCACACCACAGACAGTAAGATCCGAAACAGACATGGATATAGAGGAACAAATAAAACAACTGAGAAAAAGACAGAATACCCAGAGGCATATGAGGAATAATAAGAAAAGTAAAACTAAGGAAAAAACTAAAGGAAAATAACAATACTAATAATGTTAACAATAATTTCAATAAATGCAAGGGGGATAAAGAACAAAAACAAAAGACATCAGATATATGTGATGAAAGAGGTGGAGGGGATGGTAAACTATTGTTTGTGGGAAGGGAAGGGAGTTAGAATAGCAAGGGAAGTACAAGAAAATGAGTATGAGGACGGGGGACTGAAACTAGTTAATTTAGAGGGAAAAAAGAAAGCACTAAGGGTGAAAATGATGGYGAGATACTTAAAAGATAACAGGGATCAAGTGTGGAAGGTGTTTTTGGGAGATGCAATAAATAAATGTGGAGGATGTGGAGAGAGTGGATTGYTCATGGAACTAAAAAAAGGAATGATGGATGGGGTGACTGAAATATACAAAGAGATGCTTGGAGCGTGGGGAGAGTTTGTGAGAGGAGTGAAGTATGAATGCAAGAATGTGAGACAGGTATGGGAGCAACCAGTGTTTTTAAATCCAAARATTATGGCACAGGGAGAAACTATTTTCAACAGGGTGATATGGAGGGCAGGGATAAGAAAGGTAAGGGATATGTTGTATGAGTACATATCAGGTTTCATGGGAGCACAGGTTATTGTGGATGAAGTTAGAGGGAATTGGGAGGAAATATGGCTGGGCACAGCAAAAGGAGTAATAGAGAAAATAAAGACAGCAATGCCTAAAGAATGGATGGAAATGATTGAGAGAGAGAGTGTGGTGAGGGGGGAAGATAAAATAGAGATGTATGTGGGAGAAGGAGAATGCAAGGTGAGACTGGCAAATGTGAAAACCAGAGATGTATGTGGGAGAAGGAGAATGCAAGGTGAGACTGGCAAATGTGAAAACCAGAGTGATTTATAAATGTATGAGAGGGAAAGAGATAAGGAGACCGGCTGCAGAGAAAGTGTGGATCAAAGTTATGAATGGAATGGATGTGGAGAGCATATGGGAGAATCTGGGAGTGAAAAGAATAGCATTGAATGCAAACACTTTGATTTCATGCTAAGGCACAACCGGATTTTTTATAATCTAATAATAAGTAAGTTTGAGTGCAATGTTGAAAAGGAATGTGATGTATGTGGGGAGAGAGTGGAAATATGTATACATGAGTTTGTTGAATGTAAAGAACTAAGGGGATATTTTTAAAAAATAAAGATGTTAATCAATAAATGTTGGAAAGGGRAATGGGCAGAGAGAATGGAATGGAAGAAGCTGTGGCTGTTTGGTGTGAATGAAAGAAAGAAGGGATGCAATGTAAACCTTATGAACTATGTACTGAGCCATGCAAGGTATGCAGTTAAAATAAGAAGGAACAAGGCTCACTACGAGAAAAGGAAATGTGATGTATGGACTGTTTTTAAAAACGTAACAGAAAGAGATGTGAGACAGATATGGGGCTATATTGCAGAAGACGAGTTCAGA